GAAATTTAATAAATAATTTAATGAGTTATCTTTTGTACCTCTCTTTGTTATCACTTACTACAAATAATTGTTTTTAACATAGCTGCTGAAAAGTATAGCTGCATAAAAAAATTCTGTATTTAAAAACCACTTGTCTGACTTACTACCCGATATCTAATACTACAATCACTAAAATATTTTTTAAAATGAAATATAGTCATTAGTTATTTATGAAAATATCTGCAGTAAAAACTCGAAAAAAAGTTATTTGCACATGTAAAGTATGCAAAGTAAAAAAGAACCTTGTGATTCCTGAACAAGAGATGCACATATTGAAAAATATGGAATACATGAAGAATTAGTAGGTTCTGCTGAACCTGGAGATAATTTTCCTTCTTCTACAGATCCTTAAACAGAAGGCAGTAGCGCATCTCAAACTAATATACTTTCCCTACTTTAATTGATCTTAGTCTTCAAGAAGAATCATTTTTTGTAACTAAAAATAAAAAAAAAAATGAAAGCTATAATTAGAGAACAACCTGATATCACTATTGTTCTTGAGACTTTAAATATCTTCGATAATAAAGAAATTACAGAAGTAGAGTCTGAAAGTGATGATGAAGATACTATATTAGACTATTCAGCTCCTGATATTGATAGTAGTAATGAAGAAAATTTTGAAGATATTAGAAATCTTAATCAAGACTTTGGTTGGATATTAATTTGGATCTTGAGACACCAACAGAGATATCAGCTTGCCGATACTACAACAGAATCATTAATTAAATTTATATATTTTCTATTAACTTATCTTGACCAGAATCAGTTTCAAAACTTTTCAGAATCGCTCTATTTGGCCCGAAAGTTAATGGAATTGGGTCTACGCATAAATAACTATACAACATGCTCAGCATGTAACAAGTTGTATGATCCTGATAAAGTAACAACAAAAAAGCCTGAACAAATCCCAATGTTTCTTTATTGTAATTTTGTAGAATATCCTAACCACCTGATGTCTAAGATGAAGCAACCTTGCAACTAACAATTAGCAAAAGAGGTATCTACCAAGAATAAAATATTGTATCACCCTTTGCTTACTTATCCAATAATAAATATTTAAAATCAACTCCAATTATTATATAGTCAAAGTGGTTTTGAGAAGTCATGCAGAAAATGGGTTAAGAAAAAAATAAGCAATAATTATCTTACCGATATCTATAAAGGTAATATTTGGAAACTATTTAAAGATCAAGATACAAATTTCTTTACTTCAGAGCATACTGATACACATCTTGGCCTTATGATTAATCTGGACTGGTTTAGTCCTTTTCAAAATTCTATATATTCTACCAGTGCAATATATGCAGTTATTTGTAATTTGCTTCGTAAACTCAGATTCAAGCCACAAAATATACTAACCTTGGCATTATTGCCGGGGCCTAAAGAAGTTAAAACACACCATATTAATTATTATCTTGAACCTTTGGTTAATCAATTACTTGAATTGTGGGGTGGAATAAAAATCCCCACATATAAATCTCCTATAGGCAAAAAAATTAAATGTGCCATTATATGCTACTTATGTGACATTCTAGCTGCTAGAAAGTTATGTAAACAAATATTAGCAAGGATTGCATGTTTTCAATATGAAAAACATGCACAATATGATGCTAAACATCAACCTAACTTTGGAAAATTTGAAGATATGGATGACTGGTTTGTGGAGTGTGATATTGATAAAATTAAATATGATGCATATGAATGGTTACAATGCAAGACTGAGAATCAAAGAAAGCATCACCTGTCTGAAAAACTAGTGAGATAGTCAGAACTCCATCGTCTCCCTTATTTTAACCTGGTATATTTCTTGGTCCAAAATCAGAAAATTCTATGTTAGATTCTAATATCTTAAATCTTTTAATTGCATTCTATAATGACACAGTAGAAGGTTTTTAATTTACCAAGTCTGGACAAATATCAGGAATTGAACAAATATCTATATTTTCCAATGTTATTCGATATAGACAGTTAAAATTGGGGTCTGAAATTTTTGGATCTACATTCTTAGCTCACCACATCAAATCCTCAAGAATTCTGGCAAGATTTGTTGTTGCAGAGAATAAAACAGTAGATTCATATCCCAGTCAAGTTCAATTCTACTTTGACCATACTATCTATCTTCCTTCAGGCATACAAACATATCATCATATATTTGTAAGATAGTATGAACCTGCTGATGATTATGAAATAAGATTTTGTTGCTATGCGAAAAACTACCATAGAACAAAATTAAAATAAGTTGAAAAGAAATCGGTGGGAAAGTGATA